ATCACCTCAGGCTGCTGCAGGAAAAGGAAGAATGGTGGGTCCTGAGAGAATTCATGGTCATATGCATGTGGAAGTTGGACATTGACTAAATAAGACTGGAGAGGAATTGCTGCATTGAATTATGGTGCTGGTCAAGAAGAGTGAAAGTACCATGGACTTCCAAAGAACAACACCAACAACACCAGCAACAACGGTGTGACAATTAGTACAAGCAGAATGCTGTTTAGAAGGGAGGTTGGTGAAACTTAGGTCTCATACATTGGACATGTTTTCAGATCAGTCCTTGGAAAAGACCTGATGCGTGGTTTGGCTGAGAGCCAGCTAAAAAGAGGAACACCCTCAAACAGATGGATGGACACAGTGACTACAACAATGGGCTTAAAGCAGGGGTTCTCAACCTTCCTAAAGCCGCGACCCTTTAACACAGTTCTTCATGTTGTGGTGACACCCCCCCCTCCCAACCATAAAATTATTTTCGTGGCTACTTCATAACTCTAATTTTGGTACTGTTATGAATCAGGCGACCTCTGTGAAAGGGTTGTTTGACCCCCCCCCCCCAAAGGGGTCGTGACCCACAGGTTGAGAACCACTGGCTTAAATATAACCATTGTGAGGGTGGCACCAGACTGGGCAGTGCTTTGTTTTCTTGTACGTAGGGTCTCCGTGCATCAGAACTGACTCGATGGTGTCTAACCACAACAGCCTGGCTAGCTCTGTAGCTTCGGCATTCATCTGTTAGCCACTGTCTGCTGGAGAGAGACGAGACTGCCTGCTCCCTCAAGGTTGACAGGCTTGTGACCCGAAGGAGCAGTTCTCCTCTGCCCCGTGGGGGCACTGTGAGCTGCAGTGGGCTCATTGGCAGTGCCCCCCCACCCCAGGAGAATACCTACGGGTGCTGCCATGGTCAGATGCTTAATCATAGTCCTATGCAAGACCGTCTGTTGCATACATTGCTGTTCTTCGATAAATGACTTGCGTTCCCTGTAATTCTGAAAACATTGTAAGGCAAATTCCAATGATTGTGTGATAACCAATATTTTATTATCCGGATGTTTACAGCTGCCTCTCATCTGGCTCCCTGAGGAGGCCTCGGGACTTCACCCCTCGCCCACTCTAGGCTGCAGGGTTTGCTGTGTCACAGTAACATTGCATTTAGCCTGCAAAACAAGAGACCCAGATGGAAAAGAAATCTGCGTTCATAACTGAAGGCCTCTTCTCGGTCACAACTTATTTAGTGCGTGAGGGGCTACTTTCAGTGTGACAGTTTGAAGTGAAAACAATGTGAACGGCCTTTGCCGAGAAGTAGGAAACCTCTCCACTACTGATCCGTCTTTATCTCATTACAGCCATGGAGCAAACCCATTCTGAAATCACCAATAAGGAGCCCTGGTGGCACTGTAAGGCAGGGTGTTGGGCTGCTAACCACAAGGTTAACAGTTCAAACCCACCAGTGACATTGCAGGAAAAAGATGAGGCGACATGCTTCCATAAAGATCGACAGTCTAGGGAAACTCTCTTTGGGGTCACTGAGTTGGAATTGACTCAACGGCAGTGGGGGTGTATGAGTTGCAATCAGCTCAGCGTTAGTGGGTTTGAATGCAATACAACACCGACTCGCAAGAATGGGCTGTAACACAGAGACGTGTTTAAGTTGACTTCTCTGAAACAAATACAGTTTCAACACCTTTTATTTCAAGCAATATTGCTTCTAGACTTGCCTGAAGCCAGAATTGTTCTATAAAAGTATCACTAAGTATTATACAAGATTACAACCCCGTATACTTCCTAATAACTTGAACTCTTTTTATAAAGAACATCACTCATGGTCATAAATATGTTGATTCTGTCATTCAGCTGATGACACACATCTGTTAAACAACTAGTTAATTTCAAATATGTACATGGTCGATGATAAAGACTTTCTCAAAGTTATCAAAGATTCGACTATAACAAATTAATTTTTTAAAAAGGTTACCTTAAGCACTTAATGGAGACATAATTTACCTATGCATTTGAATGAAAAGAAAATCACTATTAAGCAAAACAAAACAAAAGACAAAATACCAAGTGTCAACCTTCTTGGAAAGCTGAATAGGGTACTGATAACTCTCTCAATGAGGTAATCATTTTGCTGGTATTTAAAGATCTAATACAAAACAAGCATGTTTTCAAGAACACAGACTTTCAGAATTTTGAAATATGCCTTTAAAAACACCAGAACTTGACAATGGCCTTAAAAATAAGCACATAACATCACGTTTATGATAGGAACCTCACATATGGTGGGTTTAAACGATGAAACAGCACACACTTATTTTATGGAATAATACTCTCCGTAGATAAATGCACAACTAAACATATTTTTTGCACACTTACGATGAATACCCATGTCACAAAAGCAAACTCGCAATGAAAAAGATAAAGGTCTCTGATCCTTTCATCCTGTCCATAAAGTACCAGAACTTAGCAATCTTACAGAACTAAGGACTACCTGGAGGTTAGGCACAGGGAAATCAGGCAATCTCAGTTTGGCTTACTCCTGGACTTTTCCTGCCAACATCATTAGCCGTGCCCTCCTGCTAATTCGTTTTAGCAAGTCGAAGACAAAGACACGCAGTATCTCCTGACTAAAGAGTTATGTCAAATGAGATGGGGCCCATCCTTGGAGCCCATTACTGCGCCACACCGAGAACAGCCGGTGAGATGGTGGCAAGCCTGGCAAGAAACACTAAGGCGAACCAAATAAGCACGGCATTCAGACATCAGAGTGCAAAGTCACGAAACCCAACATGATGGCATTCAAAAATCCAGTGGTGAAAGATGAGTCTAAACTACATCAGGCAGGCGGTGGAGGTGTGTCGGAAGGTTAGCTGATGGTGTCAAGGTTTAGAAATAGCCATGGTTCTAGCCATCTTGAGCAGGTAACATGTCTATATGCATGTCCCCATCACCTTCCCTAGCTAACACTGTTTAAGTGCCATACCAAACAAGACAGCAAAACACCTCTCCCTGCTGTTGAAAGTTAGCAAATGAAAACATGAGTCGCTGTGTACAGGTAGCTCACGTGTACATTAATTTCTACCGCACAAATGTGTGTAGGACCGCTTGGAATGTTGGTAGCTATTAGTTGACTAATAAGTTAAAAAAAATACTGTGTCTGGGGTAGTAACTCCATCTCATCGGAGGAGAGTAGTGGGGAGGCACTGCCTTCTAGATCCTGGGCGCTCTCCCTGTTGTGATTCTCCCCCACTGGGGTGACCTCCTTTCCACTGTGCTGGAGTTCGTAGGCAGCTGCCCGGTGGATACACTGGCCAATGGATGAACAAAGGCTCCATTGGGATGCGCAGGAAGTTAGAGTTGATCTTCAAAACATCTCCTCCCGAACCGCTGCCCTGGAGAAATGCTTGTGGATACCTGTTCATGGGCTGCAGACCAGGGCTCTGCTGGAGTGTCCGCTCCGCCAGGCTGTTGCCACTGACATCGCTGTCACGACTGATCTCCTCGTGCCCCATCCCTTGGTCAGTTTTCTGGTGTTTCCAGTGTTCGGAAGACCAACGGTGTACTTCTGCAATGCTGATAGTCCACTCACGTGTGTTCTCTGGATTGAATGTTGGTTCAAATGCAGGGTTCCAAGGTTGGCTGGCCATGTTGGATGAGGAGCGTCCCCACCCACAGGTCTTTGTCTGCCTCAGCAGAGGGCCTCTCCACTGCAGGGGAGGTGCAGGAAATGCGGCCAGGACTCCATCTCCTGGAGTAAGTAGTCCTATTCGGACCTGCTTACTTTTGCTCATGGTGACTGTTCAGCAGTGCAAATACTCTATCTACATCCTTCAAGTGATTAGTCCAGCCCCCCAGACGAAGTCTGTTGTTTTGTCTGCACGCATAGGCGATTTCGTTCACACCGTAGAGATCTCCCGGGCCTTGCCAGTTGATTTCTGCCACGGGACTTGGCAGATTAGCCTTCCCATCCTTCCCATAACTGTCCTCTGTGAAAAGACAGATGAGCACAGATGTGTTAGTGGAGGAAAGACTCCCTTCTTACCTGTCAAATCAATTTCCATGGTTTTTACAGGTTGAGTCAAGTCAAACTATAATAGCAGGGTAGGCATCCCTCCCTCCCTCCCTAAACCAGAGCAATCCGTTATCAAGAAGTGGCTTTAGGCTACCATGGGGTTTAAACAGTCCAACTTTGGAGAAGGGGTCAACTGAGTGGAAACTTCTATCGCTAAGCATGGTTGGCGCTGGAAACGGGGCTGGACCTCCAGCCCCCAAACTAGTGTTCACTTGAGCCTGACCTCAAGCCAATGCTGTCACCCACAGAGATCCTGTGAGTGCGTCTCTCTGAGTCCTGGTCCCCATCTGTCACATATGGGCTGTGCTCTTTGAGGAAATCGTTACCACATAGAGGGTCATGAGGTGAGTGAGGGATGGAGATCCCAAGTGGCCCCACCAGTGAGGGAGGTGCTTGATTTCTGACCGACAGGTGAATGGCTTCAACTGCCCCCAGAGGCGCCTGGGAGAAGCCGAGCTGGTGCTCTGCTCCCGGAAGGTCACAACCTTAAAATCCTTGAGTGCAATTCCACCCTGGATTTGAAAGCATTTCAATGTCATGTGCTTGGGAGGATGTTGGTCTGCGACATTTCACCGGCCCTCTTTGGAATCAAACAAACTTGCACGTGTTTCCACTCTTCAATTCAAATGCTCGGATCTGTTTCTTTGGTAAAATGTTATCATAAGACGTCCATAACCCAAAGCAAACAAACAAAACCCCTCACGGCCATCTAGTCAATGCTGACTCATAACGACCCTTACAGGACAGGGCAGAACTGTCCCTGTGAGTTTCCAGCACTGTAACTGTTAACAAAAGTCTAAAGACAATGACTTGTTTTCTCCAGAGAACTCCGTTGAGTGGTTTCACCAGATGCAAATTACCCTTAACCTTGGCAACACCACACCTACCACATTCTTGCAGAAAACAGGGCTTGTTCTCTCATTGTGCTCAGGGATCAGAAACACGTGGCCTAGCTGCTGCAGTAACATGCTCATGATCAGCCAGAAGAGTAACTAAGACTACATAAAACTCACATTTTCAGTACAGCTAGAAGACAGACACACAGACCTAACCGTCAAATCACCCGCAGGTGAAGAAAGTCGGTACTGACCCCCGCCGAGCTCCGTCTGACACTTCCAGCCACAAACCCTTGGAAAACCGAAGAAAGAAGAGGGAGGTGAGGATGATGCTAAAATTGGATTTGAAATCGCTGCTGGATAGAATGTCTGCTGTGGGAATAGAACGTGGGAAAGGGTCTGGCGAGTCTCAGCCCTGACCATCGAAAGGCACTGCCTCGGGGCGCGGTGGGCTAGAGAGGGAGGGGGAAGCACAGTGGGGAATTGGATGGTCAAGGGACAAGGGACAAGGAAAGGGAGACGCTTCAGGGCCAGTAAGGTGGAGAGATAGATAGATAGAGAGAGAGAGAATATTGGAGGACCCATAGCCTCATCTAATGAAATAAAAATAAATTATACTTGTTCTACCAATAGGAGAGAATGCTTTCAAGCTAAGAATCTTGTATATACTCCAAATGCATGCGATTAGTGAATAGAATCTTAATCTTTCCAAAATTGCTGCAAAAGAAAGCAGAGAGAGAGAATATCAAAATCCACCGCTGTGCAGATATCCCACTCAGAAAAAATCCGAGTGTGAAGAAGCCCACAGAACACACTCTTAATGAAATTAAACGTCCTCAGTCAAGCGTCCGAGGCTGCGAAAACACAGCTTAAATCAGAAAGGAAAGTACAAGCCAAGGATTGGCTATCCAGCCAGATTCTCTTTCAAGTAGAGGTCATGGAAAACAGCTGAGATCTGTGGGGCTGCAGGGCACACTGTGCCCATCAGGGCTTCTTGGGAAATGTCCGGAGGCTGGGTTCCACTCTCGAAGAAACGACTAGGCCAGCACCACCCACAGAAGTGATGGTGAGCGTTTCATGT